AATTTTTATTACTATTAGACAAGTTTTTGGTTTGTGGTTAGGTTTGTTTGTACTTGTGTCCCTCTAAAGGAAACAAACTATGTTCTTTTTTCCCAGATTTGGAGTCAGCATATGAGAATAAGAGTTTAGCTACAGAAAAAAACATTCATGAACTAAGGGCTTCCAAAAGGAATTCAGATAGAAGAAGTAAATCCCTTGGCCGTAACTGGATATGCGAAGGTACGCTTGAAAGACCGCAGCGCTCGAGAGGGAGGTATGTCAATCAAATGATCATCAATTATGTAAAAAGGCCTGCTACTAGAGAAGGTACCCCTCCTAGACCACATCAGAGACATCATAAGGAGAATTCCTTTGAATGTAAGGAGTGTGGGAAGGCCTTTAGTCGTGGCTATCAACTTAGTCAACATCAGAAAATCCATACTGGCGAGAAACCTTATGAATGTAAAGAATGTAAGAAGGCCTTCCGTTGGGGCAATCAGCTTACTCAACATCAAAAAATTCATACTGGGGAGAAGCCGTACGAGTGTAAAGACTGTGGGAAGGCTTTTCGATGGGGTTCAAGCCTCGTTATTCATAAGAGAATTCATACTGGTGAAAAACCCTATGAATGTAAAGACTGTGGAAAGGCCTTTCGGCGTGGTGATGAGCTCACTCAGCACCAGAGATTCCACACTGGGGAGAAAGACTACGAATGCAAAGACTGTGGGAAGACCTTCAGCCGTGTGTATAAACTTATTCAGCACAAGAGAATTCATAGTGGGGAGAAGCCTTACGAGTGTAAAGACTGTGGGAAGGCCTTTATTTGTGGTTCAAGCCTCATTCAGCATAAAAGAATTCACACAGGTGAGAAACCCTACGAATGTCAAGAGTGCGGGAAGGCCTTCACTCGAGTCAATTACCTCACTCAGCATCAGAAGATCCACACCGGTGAGAAGCCTCACGAGTGTAAGGAATGTGGGAAGGCCTTTCGCTGGGGTTCGAGCCTCGTGAAGCACGAGAGGATACACACGGGCGAGAAGCCGTACAAATGCACAGAGTGCGGGAAGGCCTTCAACTGCGGCTACCACCTCACTCAGCACGAGAGAATCCACACGGGCGAGACCCCGTACAAATGTAAGGAGTGTGGGAAGGCTTTCATTTATGGGTCCAGCCTTGTGAAACACGAGAGAATTCATACCGGGGTGAAACCCTACGGGTGTACAGAATGTGGGAAGAGCTTTAGTCATGGCCATCAGCTTACACAACATCAGAAAACGCACAGCGGGCCGAAATCCTACGAATGTAAGGAATGCGGGAAGGCATGTACCCACCCAAACCATCTCCGAGAACATCAGAGGATCCACAACAGTTGAAGAGCCTCTTGAACACCGTAGCCCACTCGTATCTGTGGTTTCGCTTTCCACAGTTGGTTATCTGCAGTCCACTGCAGTTCAAAAATATTAAATGGAAAATTCCAGAAATAACGAATGCATAAGTCTCAAATGGTGTGCCCTTCCGAGTAGCGTGATGAAATCTCTCTGTCCGGCTCCAACCGGCCAGGGCTGTGAATCGTCCCTTGGTCCAGCACAATCACGCTGTCTACGCTACCCACCCTGCTCGTCACTTAGTAGCCGTCTTGGTGATCAGACTGACTGTCATAGCATCACAGTGCTTGTGCTCAAGCAGTCTCTGCTTTGCTTAACAGCGGCCCCAGAGCAAGAGTAGTGATGCCAGTGATTCGGATATGCCAAAGAGAAGCCACAAAGTGCTTCCTTTTAAGTGAAATGGTGAAAGTTCTCAATAAGGAAAAAGAAAAAAAAATCATATACTGAGGTTGCTAAGATCTACATGACAATAAGATATTTTGGGAGAGAGAGATACCTACGTTCATGTAATTTTATGACAGTATATTGTTACAATTGTTCTATTTTGTTAGTTATTGTTGGTAATCTCTTACTGTGCCTAATTTATAAATCAAACTTTAGATACGTATGTACAGGAAAAAATGTAGTATATAGTATCGTATATATGTACAAGAAAAAAACAGAGTACTATCTGTGGTTTCAGGTATCCACTGGGGGTCTTGGAACATATTCCCCTCAGGTGAGAGGGGACTGCTGTACAAAGAATGTAGGAACGCCTCTAGACTACATCCATTCCTTCCTCAACACGAGGAAAAATCATGGTACAGTTTAACATAAGAAAGCCTTCACTGATCACTGTTTTTTTATTTTATTTTTTTTTTTGGAGACAGAGTCTTACTCTTGCCCAGGCTGGAGTGCACCACCACGCCTGGCTAATTTTTGTATTTTCAGTAGAGACAGGTTTCACCATGTTGTCCACGCTGGTCTTGAACTCCTGACCTCAGGTGATCCACCTGCCTTGCCCTCCCAAAGTGCTAGGATTACAGGCGTGAGCCACTGCATCCAGCCCACTGATCACTCTTCTGCTTACAGAATATCAGAAGTCATTCTAGAGGCAAATTTGAATTGTGGAAAAATCACTTTTTCTTAATGATTGTGTTTTTGGTGTAGACGTTTTTATTGTGTAGGTTAGTTTAATGAATACATAAAGACTACCAATACCATTCTGTCTTTATTCCGTGGCATCTGTGGAATAACCCTGCTAATGTAACATGTGAAAAAGCCTTTAGTCATGGCACCCACTCTCTCAGTTGTCCCCACCATCCCCCGCCCTCCTCCCTGTGAGACACTGGGCCAAAGGCTCACTACCCCTGTGCGTTGTCCGGCACACAGACACTATTGTGCATTATTTGTACATAAGGATAGTCACATCTACCTGAGACTGCTATTGTGGAAATTAAATGTTTGGTACATGTAAAGTCTTTGAAAGTGTAACTGGAATATTGTATAAGTTCAATAAATATTAACTGTTGTTTTTATGATCATTACTACCATTTGTGTTGCCATTTGTGAATTTTTACAAGAAAACCCCCTGTGGGTGCAATGAGTCTGGAAAAGACCATTGAACCTTCTAGAAGAAAACATTAAGAGATTATTGTCACAACCGCGGGTTATGCAATGATTTCTCAGTACACAAAACACAGCAAACATAAAAAGTCGTTACACTTCATCGAAAGTACAAAGTTCTGTTCGTCAAATGATGCTGTTAAGATGGGGAAAGACAAGAAACAGGACTGGAAGAAGATATTTGCTCTACAGTACACCTGACAAAGGAACTCTCATAGAAAATATAAAGAATCCCTCAAGTTGAAAAAAAAAATCAATTTAAAGGGGAGAAAACTTAAGCACGTCTCAACAGAAAATCACCAAACGGCCAATAAGTGAGTGAAAGTGTATTCAATGTCATTGCTCCTCAAGGAACTGTAGAGTAAAACTACAATGTGCCGTCACTGTAGACAGTCACCAGGATGATTAGATTAAAATCACAGTAACAAGGTCGGTTTCTGATGTCTCACCACAAAGGAGGAGGATAAGGGAGTGAGGTGATGGATGTTAATTAGCTTGATTTAATCATTCCACATTGTATACATGTATCGGAACGTCACCTTGTACTCCATCAATATAATGCAATTATTATTTGTCAAATATTAATAAAGAAAATCAAAAATGAGCAGGTCTCTTGGTTGGATATTGAAACACGACCTATTCAAGAAGGAACCCCGCCAGCAGACTGCACCTCTGCCAAATCCTGGCGGTGCCCCACAGCAGGGACAGGGCGGGAGGGAGGTGAGCGGACTGGTCCTGGGGAAGGGGTGAGGGCCCGGAGTAGAGTTGTTACAGGAAAGGGGTGCCAGTCCAGGCTCCAGGAGAGAGTTCTTGGATCTCACACAAGAAAGAATTCAGCGGCCGGGCGCGGTG